ACTGGCCACGTGGGAAGTTTCGCCAACTTCACAAAACTCCAAATGCGTTGCAGTTGTCCTTGTCTTGTTTCTGTCGAAAGCTCCCGTGGCGTTTTCGCCACACCATTTTGCTGCCCAACACGCGATGATTCTTCGCATGCCCCAAGTACAGTATTTATAAGAGTGGCTGAGGCTGCCGCAGTAGTCGCAGTGCTCAGTTAAAATATCGCTGGAACACAACATCTACGCTAGCTACAGGTGGTCATAAGGCAGTCTTGTCATTTTAAACAACAACAAACAAAACCAGTTGGCAACGGGTGACTGTGAACACTTTGAGGTAAAACCAAAGCACCAATCAAAACGAGACTGCTCTGACAGGCAGCATAGTTCATACCATCATCCTTCCAAGTGGGTTCGATAGAAATGATACATTATGGGATCATTCTACAGAGACACTACACTCTCAAGTAGCCAAGGGACCATTCATAAAATGGCATAGTCTTAGATGTAACTAAAGGATGGATATGTTGAAGGTTCTTTCGTCACGGTCTGCATCGCGACGTCCCTGACAGCAATGTTTGGATTGTAGGGTAAGTGATATGTAATAGAGAGGGGGAATGACTCTGTAACCATGATTTCCTACCCTATACATTTTGGACAGAGCGCATTCTTTGTGGGGTGACTTTAAGTAGTGTTGTGAACCTTCCATTCCATTTTCAGCTCCTACGGAGCACTCTAGGTGGGTTGGTTGGATGATGAGCTAGTGTAGCTAATGATGCTACCGAATGCTGTTCTGTACAAGTTCTGGGCAGGCTTATGGGGAAATGCGCCGATTGATAGCCTAGACATTTTGGATTGGGATGCACTCCTGGGAGGATCTTAGTAATGGTATCATGATCCTCCCATCCCAAAATGGGTCTCGTCGGAGCACGTTTGGTTGGTCGTTCGACAAACGTGCTACCGAATGCTGTTCTGTACAAGTTCTGGGCAGGCTTATGGGGAAATGCGCCGATTGATAGCCTAGACATTTTGGATTGGGATGCACTCCTGGGAGGATCTTATTAATGTTATCATGATGCTCCCTTCCTAAAATGGGCCTCGTCGCAGCACGTTTGCTTGGTCGTTCGACAAACGTGCTACCAAATGCTGTTCTGTACAAGTTCTGGGCAGGCTTATGGGGAAATGCGCCGATTGATAGCCTAGACATTTTGGATTGGGATGCGCTCCTGGGAGGATCTTATTAATGGTATCATGATGCTCCCTTCCTAAAATGGGCCTCGTCGGAGCACGTTTGCTTGGTCGTTCGACAAACGTGCTACCGAATGCTGTTCTGTACAAGTTCTGGGCAGGCTTATGGGGAAATGCGCCGATTGATAGCCTAGACATTTTGGATTGGGATGCACTCCTGGGAGGATCTTAGTAATGGTATCATGATCCTCCCATCCCAAAATGGGCCTCGTTGGAGCACGTTTGCTTGGTCGTTCGACAAACGTGCTACCGAATGCTGTTCTGTACAAGTTCTGGGCAGGCTTATGGGGAAATGCTCCGATTGATAGCCTAGACATTTTGGATTGGGATGCACTCCTGGGAGGATCTTATTAATAGTATCATGATGCTCCCTTCCGAAAATGGGCCTCGTCGGAGCACGTTTGATTGGTCGTTCGACAAACGTGCTACCGAATGTTGTTCTGTACAAGTTCTGGGCAGGCTTATGGGGAAATGCGCCGATTGATAGCCTAGACATTTTGGATTGGGATGCACTCCTGGGAGGATCTTATTAATGGTATCATGATGCTCCCTTCCTAAAATGGGCCTCGTCGGAGCACGTTTGCTTGGTCGTTCGACAAACGTGCTACCGAATGCTGTTCTGTACAAGTTCTGGGCAGGCTTATGGGGAAATGCGCCGATTGATAGCCTAGACATTTTGGATTGGGATGCACTCCTGGGAGGATCTTATTAATGGTATCATGATCCTCCCATCCCAAAATGGGCCTCGTCGGAGCACGTTTGGTTGGTCGTTCGACAAACGTGCTACCGAATGATGTTCTGTACAAGTTCTGGGCAGGCTTATGGGGAAATGCGCCGATTGATAGCCTAGACATTTTGGATTGGGATGCACTCCTGGGAGGATCTTATTAATGGTATCATGATCCTCCCATCCCAACGTCAGCTCCTGCGGAGCACCCTAGGTTGGTTGTTTGGAAGATGAGCTACGGTAGTTTAGCTGGGATTTTCGCTGCCTTATGGGGCAAGGCATGATTACCTGCCCGCCGCATATTGGAATGAGCCGATTATTTGTGTGGTGTCTCTAGTTAGTGCTATGAAACTCCCATCCCATTCTCAGCTCCTGCGGATCACCCTAGGTTGGTTGTTTGGAAGATATCACAGTTTAGCTGATTTTGCTGCGATTTCCGCAGCCTTATGGGGCAAGGCATGATTACCTGCCCGCCACATATTGGATTGAGCTGATTCTTTGTGTGGTGACTCTAAGTTGTGCTGTGGACCTTCAATCCCATTTTCAGTTACTGCGGAGCACTCTAGGTTGGTTGTTTGGAAGATGGCATAAAACGCCATATTTTACTGCGATTCAGGCCGTCGTATGGGGCAAGGCCAGATCTCCTATCCTATAACATATTAGTCCAATAGTCAGTAGTCAGTAGGGTCGGTTAAATGAAACCATGGTTACATAATTTTTTATAGTGGGTTCAGTTAATATCATTGTTCAAATCTATGAATGGCACATTTTGTTATGCATACGTCTTATCATTTGTGTGCACAGTGTTGTGTCTAAATCGTGAATAGCATTGCAGTCGACTTTCGAAAGTTTGAAGTCGTGGTATGAGGCACAGGGAATCAGGTGCTGCACGCACACACCAACCCTATCCTGAAGGCTGCAAACCCTAATTTCGTCAAGGTTCCCGATCCGCCTCCTCGCGATTCGTGTATTGCACCTCATATCGTGCCCCCAGGTCGCGCCGTCAGCGACTCGTCGTAATCACATGGCTGTCGTGCCTTTGGGTAGCTCGCACTGTAGCGTTATTCCCCGTCACGATGTCCATCCGCTACCTTATATTGAATGGCCTTCTCGCTATTCATCGACTCTTTGTAGCGGGTGCGTATTTAAACGCCACGGCGATATGCAGAGGCAAATGAACGACGGACTAATGTCGCGCTGCCATGGATCGTTCTAGTCCTGTTCGGTGTGCACACTGTGGACGAGAGTTTTCAGACTGTTTCGTCCTAGGAAGGCACCGGGCTGGCAACACACCCTGCAACCCCAACTCTGCAGAGCATCGCGCAGGCAGTGGTCATAGGCGCCCTAACATAGCATACATTGTGCCTGCATCGCTCCCGCACTTCGTCAGACATGGCAGTTCCGCGTCTCAAGATGCAACTCAAGAGACACTGCCAACATCGTCTAGTGGCGTGGGCTGTGAGAGTCGTGTTGATCCTGAAGGATCTTCTCCACACCCCTCAACGCCCCAGTCGTCCAGCCAAGGGGCGGAGCAGCCCCCAACCACATGTCCAGATAATCCTGGATTCGGTTCTGCTGCCAGGCCTTCGTTTCCCGATGGCAGCGACATCCATCCCGCTTTGATACACCTGTTGGAGCAACTCGATTCGCTGAATGGCGGCATGGGCTTATCGAACATGGATACTAACAAGGTGCTGCAGCTAATTATCCATCCAGAGTTGGCCCCGCTACTGGTAGAGGGGAATGTCCGTAGCTTCCGTGATGTGGAGATGCTACAGAAGGAATATCTGGCTGACACGGGACGTGGATTCGAGTCGACCACATTTTATGTGGAGGGCTTTCCACCGCAAGTGATGCTTCACCGCGATCCACTGAGGGTGAGTTTGCTGACGTAGTTTCGGGTACCCGGGATGAAACTGAAGGGCATTGGCTTGACTACATGTCCTGGCGGCATCATGCGTCACTCTCATATTGTGTAGGGTGCTAACCGGCCTATGTACGTGCTGTATATGATATTGCAGGCCCTGGCGGATATGTTTAGGCACAAGCACAATGCGCCTGGCTTCAGAATGGGACCAAGGAGAGACAAGGACAGCGAGAGTGGGCATCGGGCATATTCCACTGCAGAAACCGGCACATGGTGGCAAGAAGCACAGGTGAGGGCTATTGATAGCTTTTTGCAGTTGCGAGAGATGGTGAGTGATGGGACGGGAGGTGCAGAGATTGTGAGTGCAAGGTGATGGGTAGTTTACACTCCCCTCACATCACTCGCACCTTGCATATGTTCCACACCTACCACTCACCATGCATGGTCCCAGCTTTCAGCTGTTGTGCCCTTTTCGAGTCAGCAATGTTTACCGCGCAGAGACATTGCCTTTCCCCTCGACCCAATCTATCCATTCTTTGCGTTATGTGCAGGAATTCATTGGCATGGACAAGATCGTTGCGGCGCTGATACTGTACAGTGACGTCACGCACTTGAGCAACAACGGGAGGAAGAAGGCGCACCCGGTCGTGATGACACTGGGGAATATTGCATTCCCCAAACGCTGGGGCCGGCCCGGGCACTCCCTGTTGGCGCTGTTACCCATCCCACCCTCGAACATGCCGTCGCACTTGAAGGTGGAGCTCTACAACGCGTGTATTGCTAAGCTACTTGAGCCACTTCTCTGCCTTAAAGACAAGTGAGTGGTGCAAATGCTGGTGTGTACCGAATCTTTATCTTATTGGTGAGTCATGCCCCATAAAAGGAGTGCGGTGCTTGGAAGTAATGAATATTGTTAACCAGCCTGTGTTTCCACCCTGTTTCATGGCTGCCCGAAAACTGTGCAGTGGTGTCATGCTGCTGGACTCAGAGGGCATCGAGCGATGGGTCGTTCCTTTGCTGTACGCTTGGGCTTGTGACTATCCCGAGTCCGGGAAACTGACATGCACCAAATCTGGCCAGGGCTGCATGAAGCCGTGCAGCCTCTGCTATGTCGACAGGGTACGTCAACATGTACACTCGGGGTGGGGATGTGCTGGGATGGGAGGTGCTGGAATGGGGATGGCAAGGATGGGCGGTGGTGGGATGGGGAGTGCTGGGAGGGGGGGGGGGGGTGCTGGGATGGTGAGTGCTGGGATGGTGAGTGATGGGATGGTGAGTGATGGGAGGGTGAGTGCTGGGATGGTGAGTGCTGGGATGGTGAGTGCTGGGATGGTGAGTGATGGGATGGTGAGTGATGGGATGGTGAGTGCTGGGATGGTGAGTGATGGGATGGTGAGTGATGGGATGGTGAGTGCTGGGATGGTGAGTGCTGGGATGGTGAGTGCTGGGATGGTGAGTGCTGGGATGGTGAGTGATAGGGATGGTGAGTGCTGGGATGGTGAGTGATGGGATGGTGAGTGATGGGATGGTGAGTGCTGGGATGGTGAGTGCTGGGATGGTGAGTGCTGGGATGGTGAGTGATAGGGATGGTGAGTGCTGGGATGGTGAGTGCTGGGATGGTGAGTGATAGGGATGGTGAGTGCTGGGATGGTGAGTGCTGGGATGGTGAGTGCTGGGATGGTGAGTGCTGGGATGGTGAGTGCTGGGATGGTGAGTGCTGGGATGGTGAGTGCTGGGATGGTAAGTGCTGGGATGGTGAGTGCTGGGATGGTAAGTGCTGGGATGGTGAGCAGCCCCCAACCACATGTCCACATGTCTGTGTATGTGTGTGTCTAATGGTCTCTCTTGCTCGTCCCCTTTATGCTAAAAATTCCAACGCCCACCACAGGAAAGCCTGTCATCTGTGGAGCTACTCAACAACGTTCGCACACCCGCACAACAGCAGTGGGTTAGAGACGAGGCAGCTGGAGTCGCTGCCGGAGCGGATGACAATCCGCTGAAGTTGTACTCAACGTTCGACATCGACGTATGTATTTGATGCCAGCTCGTAGGCTCATAGACACAGCAACCTCTGGTGTCTATTGGTGTCAAGTGTTTCCCTAACCATCGCATTCCCTGCTGCGCTGTACCACAAGCACAGTGTGCTTTATGGAAGTGGCAGGTTGGATCATTGCCGTGGGGAAATCCTTTTCTCGCTGTCATGGCGGACATCATGCACCAGGCAGACCTGGGGATGCTGGACCACATCGTGGTGTGCATCCGCGCCCAACACCCAACGATGATGAAGATTCTGGATTTGTGAGTACCCCTTGGACCACCCGCCTGGAGATGCCCCTTCAAGAAGCCATCGTTACAATGTTGGCATGTCAAGCCTACATTTGTGAGCACATGGTAGTGTGTCAGCTCAACTTTATTCCATCCTGATCTGCCGCCCCCCATATCCGAAATCTTTCCATCCCACCGTACGCAGGCGCCTTCTACGGCTCACCCTGAAAACACGGATCAACTCTTTGCGTTTTCCGAAGAGCGAATACTTCAAAACCGGGGCACAAGTCGCAGCTTTTGAACATCGATCGGTCATGCAGGTATGATGCTTAGAGGCCTTGCAGACCATGGAGAGGTGGAAGGGGGAGGGTGGGAACAGTGGGCCGAGCTGGGCAGGGACGGAAGAGGAAGGGGAGAGAAGATGGGCTGGTGGAGAAGGCACTGCTGTAAACTCGCTTGAAGTCATTCATGGGAAGAAGCTCCTTCAATCTTTTCTCTCACCTTTCCTACACACCATGCTGCATGCATCCAGGTGTTGATCTTTTTGGTGGCTGACGTTGTCGGCTCGCCCCAGCTGGAGGCCATCAGAGCATACCTTGACTGGTATCTCTGCTGCAACGCCGCCTCTCACACCGAGAGAAGTCTTTCCGAACTACAAGCCAAATCAACAAGGTACCTCACCAAACGAAACAACCTAAACCATCTAACTCCCCTAGTGATTCCATCCCTTACAAATTGAACGCTTATCCATATACTCCTTCATTTATTCATGCTCCCACCCATCCCAGGCTGGTGAAACTACTCACGGCTGCCTTCCCCGAGCAGAAATCAAGGTGGAACCTCATCAAAACACACTTGATGACTCATTTCATCCCTGGCATTCGACGAGCTGGGAATGTGCAAGAGTACAGCACCAACCTCTTCGAACACCTGCATAGCACCCTGCTGAAGCAAATCTACAGGAGATCGAATAAGCGGAAAGTGGACACGCAGATCATGAAGCACCACGAGATGAAGCTTGACTCCATCAGCAACGTGGCCACCGACCAAGGCGTGCAAACGGCTATGCAAAAGGTAGGTGCTGTGAGGGGAGGCGCTGAGATGGTGAGTGCGATGAGGGGAGGTGCTGAGATGGTGAGTGCGGTGAGGGGAGGTGCCGAGATGGTGAGTGATGTGAGGGGAGGTGCTGAGATGGTGAGTGCTGTGAGGGGAGGCGCTGAGATGGTGAGTGCTGTGAGGGGAGGTGCTGAGATGGTGAGTGCTGTGAGGGGAGGTGCTGAGATGGTGAGTGCTGTGAGGGGAGGCACTGAGATGGTGAGTGCTGTGAGGGGAGGTGCTGAGATGGTGAGTGCTGTGAGGGGAGGTGCTGAGATGGTGAGTGCTGTGAGGGGAGGCGCTGAGATGGTGAGTGCTGTGAGGGGAGGTGCTGAGATGGTGAGTGCTGTGAGGGGAGGTGCTGAGATGGTGAGTGCTGTGAGAGGAGGTGCTGAGATGGTGAGTGCTGTGAGGGGAGGCGCTGAGATGGTGAGTGCTGTGTGGGGAGGTGCTGAGATGGTGAGTGCTGTGAGGGGAGGCGCTGAGATGGTGAGTGCTGTGAGGGGAGGTGCTGAGATGGTGAGTGCTGTGAGGGGAGGTGCTGAGATGGTGAGTGCTGTGCGGGGAGGCACTGAGATGGTGAGTGCTGTGAGGGGAGGTGCTGAGATGGTGAGTGCTGTGAGGGGAGGTGCTGAGATGGTGAGTGCTGTGAGAGGAGGTGCTGAGATGGTGAGTGCTGTGAGGGGAGGCGCTGAGATGGTGAGTGCTGTGTGGGGAGGTGCTGAGATGGTGAGTGCCGTGAGGGGAGGTGCTGAGATGGTGAGTGCTGTGAGGGGAGGCACTGAGATGGTGAGTGCTGTGAGGGGAGGTGCTGAGATGGTGAGTGCTGTGAGGGGAGGTGCTGAGATGGTGAGTGCTGTGAGGGGAGGTGCTGAGATGGTGAGTGCTGTGAGGGGAGGTGCTGAGATGGTGAGTGCGGTGAGGGGAGGTGCTGAGATAGTGAGTGCTGTGAGGGGAGGTGCTGAGATGGTGAGTGCTGTGAGGGGAGGTGCTGAGATGGTGAGTGCTGTGAGGGGAGGTGCTGAGATGGTGAGTGCTGTGAGGGGAGGTGCTGAGATGGTGAGTGCTGTGAGGGGAGGTATGGTGAGTGCTGTGAGGGGAGGTGCTGAGATGGTGAGTGCTGTGAGGGGAGGTGCTGAGATGGTAAGTGCTGTGAGGGGAGTTGCTGAGATGGTGAGTGCTGTGAGGGGAGGTGCTGAGATGGTGAGTGCTGTGAGGGGAGGTGCTGAGATGGTGAGTGCTGTGAGGGGAGGTGCTGAGATGGTGAGTGCTGTGAGAGGAGGTGCTGAGATGGTGAGTGCTGTGAGGGGAGGCGCTGAGATGGTGAGTGCTGTGTGGGGAGGTGCTGAGATGGTGAGTGCTGTGAGGGGAGGTGCTGGGATGGTGAGTGCTGTGAGGGGAGGTGCTGAGATGGTGAGTGCTGTGAGGGGAGGCGCTGAGATGGTGAGTGCTGTGAGGGGAGGTGCTGAGATGGTGAGTGCTGTGAGGGGAGGTGCTGAGATGGTGAGTGCTGTGAGGGGAGGTGCTGAGATGGTGAGTGCTGTGAGGGGAGGTGCTGAGATGGTGAGTGCTGTGAGGGGAGGTGCTGAGATGGTGAGTGCTGTGAGGGGAGGTGCTGAGATGGTGAGTGCTGTGAGGGGAGGCACTGAGATGGTGAGTGCTGTGAGGGGAGGTGCTGAGATGGTGAGTGCTGTGAGGGGAGGTGCTGAGATGGTGAGTGCTGTGAGGGGAGGTGCTGAGATGGTGAGTGCTGTGAGGGGAGGTGCTGAGATGGTGAGTGCTGTGAGGGGAGGTGCTGAGATGGTGAGTGCTGTGAGGGGAGGTGCTGAGATGGTGAGTGCTGTGAGGGGAGGCGCTGAGATGGTGAGTGCTGTGAGGGGAGGTGCTGAGATGGTGAGTGCTGTGAGGGGAGGTGCTGAGATGGTGAGTGCTGTGAGGGGAGGTGCTGAGATGGTGAGTGCTGTGAGGGGAGGCGCTGAGATGGTGAGTGCTGTGAGGGGAGGTGCTGAGATGGTGAGTGCTGTGAGGGGAGGTGCTGAGATGGTGAGTGCTGTGAGGGGAGGTGCTGAGATGGTGAGTGCTGTGAGGGGAGGCACTGAGATGGTGAGTGCTGTGAGGGGAGGTGCTGAGATGGTGAGTGCGGTGAGGGGAGGTGCTGAGATGGTGAGTGCTGTGAGGGGAGGTGCTGAGATGGTGAGTGCTGTGAGGGGAGGTGCTGAGATGGTGAGTGCTGTGAGGGGAGGTGCTGAGATGGTGAGTGCTGTGAGGGGAGGCGCTGAGATGGTGAGTTCTGTGAGGGGAGGTGCTGAGATGGTGAGTGCTGTGAGGGGAGGTGCTGAGATGGTGAGTGCTGTGAGGGGAGGTGCTGAGATGGTGAGTGCTGTGAGGGGAGGTGCTGAGATGGTGAGTGCTGTGAGGGGAGGTGCTGAGATGGTGAGTGCTGTGAGGGGAGGCGCTGAGATGGTGAGTGCTGTGAGGGAAGGTGCTGAGATGGTGAGTGCTGTGAGGGGAGGTGCTGAGATGGTGAGTGCTGTGAGGGGAGGTGCTGAGATGGTGAGTGCTGTGAGGGGAGGCGCTGAGATGGTGAGTGCTGTGAGGGGAGGTGCTGAGATGGTGAGTGCTGTGATGTGAGGGGAGGGTGAGTGCTGAGATGGGAGGGTGAGTGCTGAGATGGTGAGTGCGGTGATGGGAGGGTGAGTGCTGAGATGGTGAATGCGGTGAGTAGGAGTGCCTGGCGGGACAGCTCGGGCTGGGTGGCATGGAAAGTTTGCCGGCAGGTCCTTGGTGGGTAGCAGGGGAAGAGTTAGCTCAAGGCAGGGGAGGGGGCAGTGAAAGAGGAAGTGCAGGGCAGGGAGGGGAGCAAACGAAGGGGGAGAATGGTGTGCTTTTTTTCCAATCTCTGCCTTTTCTGACACGTGCCAGGCCATCGAGGATGGAGCTCGGGTGATGGTGAAGGAGTCCTACTTCTTCCACGTGAAACCTGATGACGTCACTCCCATTGCCAACTGGTTTGTCCGTGAGTGGGCGAAGCTCCACAGCGAGGCACACCATGCCTTTGCGGGTGCATTGCTTCGACGCCAGCTGAGGCCAACGAAAGTTCGTGTAAGTGGTGACAATGGTGACATCAAGCAGATACCATATGTAACTGAATGTTACTTTGTAATGATTTGTGTCTCTTACTGGTTGCAGGCTCACACAACACTTGCCATCCCTGCTGCAGAAGATGCGAGTTTCGCCCGTGTAGCACATTTCGTGAAAGCAACCCCGCTGTCTCACTCTAGGCCGTGGTTCTCTGATGTTGCCATCGTGGGAACAACAGCGACAGGTGAAGAGACGGAGTGGTACGGAAGGCTCTTGTTGATGTTCCATACGAAAGAGAGAGGGTGCACGAAGGAGTGGGCATATGTGAAGTACTGGTCAAGCGTAGGCGAGGATGCAAAAACAGGGTGCAAACGTCTTAGGTGGGCAACTGGGGTATCGCGCTACTCAGTGATTGACACTGAAAGCATACTGCGCCAGGTGCACATTATCAAGTCTTACCACTGCGAAAATGCATTCTATCTTAACAAGTACCTGCTAAATTAGATATAAATCCTACGCGCATCTGTACTTTTTCATAGGCAACCAAACCTGTTTTGTATTAAGAGGCAAGATTACATGCAATAACAACTAATGACTGTACAGGGTATATATGTACATGCACATGTGATTGTTTAACCAGCAGCCTTTCAATATTATAAGACATAACTTTGACTTAATGTAAAATTTGTTTTCAAGAAACACTGTAGGCTCATCTTGGTCCATAATTACTCCTATTCGAGACCATTTTTGCAGGGCCCAAACGCACCCTATCGCCACGTCTCGTCGTGCGCCAAGCAAAGCTGTGGCTCGGTGACCCAGAAATATTTGCGGGAAACCAATGCACCCCATTCTCGAAACTGCTTTTTCAACCTGGTCAAAAGAGCACTGTACACCTGACATTGACCGAAATTGGGCCAATTTCGGTTCGCCGAGGCGCACAATGTCTCGCGAGTCGGTTCGGATGCGCGAAAGCAGATCGAAATCTGAGAATGACACATTTACGCTGGTGGTTGGGCGAAAAAGGTTGGACAACCCACGCAACCCAACTTCCGAAACCAATTCGACCCGTTTCCAAGCGATTCAAAAACGAGGGGTTTTTGTGATGATGCCCCCTCCGTGACGATTCCGCTTCCTCTGTTGAGAACATCCGCTTTCGCATCTGACATAACCGTCTGTTGCAGAAATTCGGTGACCGCGGAAGAAAAACACCTCGAACAGATAAGGTCTGTTGAAAAGCAGATAACTTACGTGCTCTATATTTCCTTTTCGTCCTCGAGTGTCAGGTGCGCTCGGAAAGAAGGACGGGGGTGAAGGCGGTGGCAATGGGAAGGGCAAGGGCGGCGGCAACGGAAAGGGCGGTGGCAAGGGTGGCGGAAAGGGCGGCGGAAACGGCGGCGGCAACGGGAAGGGCGGAAAGGGAGGGGGATGGAAGGGGCCCAAGAAGGGGAAGCAGAAGATCGCGGGAGCGGCGTCGGCAACATTGCGTGGAGAAGAGGTGGTGGACGCTAGCGGGAACTCGATCGGCGATAAAAACGCCACAGGGGTCATCGATCTCGTGCTCGTCCGGTAAGAAGCCCTGCGCGCTTGACTGGGTTACCCCTCGCTCTTGATAGTGTTTTCGTCGTGTAAGAAGTCCGGAAATGGGCGATGGGGAAGAGGGAAGGCGGGCTCGTCGATCTCCTGCTCGATCGGTAAGGTTAACCCATGTGCGCTTGACAGGCCATTCCTAGATCCGCGGGTGGGAACGAGGATGGGGATGGGGAAAAGTGGGGAAAATTTTAGTCTTCCATGGCTTTCGGCCGTCGATTTACCGCGATTACGCGCCCCTGACCCCTGTTTGTAATCTCCCGTTTTTGTCCCTCTTGTTACAGGAACGACACCGTCTACGACCTCCACTTCCAAGTAGGCATCGCGCTGACGGATTCCGGCGAGCCGACGTCAGTCACCGTCAACGAAGGCGCCGAAGGAACTAACGGAAACGTGGTCATCGACTTGACGGAAGACATCACATGGACGAACACCACCGGGACTGCCGCGGGCCCGCGCTACGGCCGGAAGAAGAAGGGCTGGGGTTGGGGGGGAGGCCGCATGTTCCGGGGCCGAGACAACTCTCTGAGGGACATGTACTCGTACTACACTAGGGGAGTCATTCGCGACGCGTCGTCGCGCACTAATGCGCAGGGCGACACGTACTTAGTGGCCATGCAGAACCTTTTGGACTCGCCCAGGTCGTACTATGGGCTCGTTAAGACTGACATGTATCCCGAAGGCGCGGCACGGGGGCAGTTCAGGAAGGGGCCTAAGGGATGGGGCGTGTGGCGAAACCGGGGGTTCTGCTTTAAATTCAACTGCTGATGTGTCCGATCCTGTTGCATGAAGCTATTAGTGTACAAAGCATAGCGGGGGCTTCTAAAAAGAGCTAGTGGGCTGCTAGTTTCAGCATGTTTTATCTTAATTGAGCACAGGCCCCCTTAGCAGGTTGTACAGATGTTGTTATGAACATGTAAAAAACATATATGTCACTTGAAGATCAGATTCCTGGTAAAGTACTCAAAAGCAGGAATATTCACACTGAAGCAACAGGTCAAGAAAAATTGAACCCAAATGGGTCAAAAAACGGTTCTTCTATTTCGTGCTAGATGAAGACGGGTGTTACTTATACACTGGCTATATTTTTTCAAACATCTTATTCAAATAGCTCTTCTGCACTACACTCAGATGTGTGCCATTCAATAGTAAAATAGAACATGTCCAAACGAGTCACTCACTCAAGCCTCCGAACCGGAGAAAACAATGGCTCAGTGCTCACCAAATCCGCATGCAACGGCAGAACCTCGCTGGGGTTCCTGAAAACATGACTGAGCAACAAATCAGGATTTTTCCACTCGCCTCGCCACCTGGAAGACTGACTTGAAATGAAACGGAAAGAGAGGCCTGCCCGTGGGGAGATGGACGGCGAAACATTCCAAAACGCACATCCAGGTTTCACGCGTGCCGCAGGTCATGGTCGTTTGTCACATCCCTCCACCAGTCTCTTGCTCACCAACACTTGTGCCCTTAATTAGGTGGAACTCCGCATCGTCAGCAGCGCGCATGCATTCGCGAAATGGGCAATCTGCTTCGCCTGCACACTCCTGACGTGGCATGTCGTGGGGCTTGTGATGAACAGAATCCATGGGCCTCCACCACTCCACAACAGCGTGTACTGTACCACACCGACCAGGCCCGCTCCAACAGAGTTCGTTACCCATACAGTTAAGTTCACAGTTTGTACTGTATACTGCAGTGTATTCCCGAACCTGATTCTTGACGTGGCCCAGTCAGTAGAATGGGCACTTCCGAAGGATGAGGTTCTGGACTCAACCCCAGTGCCGGCGTGTTCTGCCAGCCCCCCAGAAGGGGGTTTCGCACTGCTCATCTGGGAGTGGATAGTCCTACCTCGATACCCAGCGAGGCGTGTAAATAAGTGGGTAGGCGGATTACGCTCGACAGCCGGGGTCTCCCAAGGGGGTTTCCCCTAAAACCCAACCGTTACAGTTCGTATTCCCGAATCAGAATATTGCAAGTGATATAATGCCCCAGTGCTGAAAAGTAACTCACGAACCAGCAGAAACGAGTTTGTGATGTGAGTGAGCGAGTTATGTGATGTGAGTGAGCGAGTTATGTGATGTGAGTGAGCGAGTGTGCGAGTGAAAGAAACCAGCACTGTCAATTTCTCGCTCATAATCTTGGACAGTTTTCGTTACAACACGGGGAGCGTCTCATACTATCCCGAGAGCTAACAAAACTCTCAACATTTTGTCATGTATTTCCCAAACCAAACCTCTCCCGCTTGGTTGGGAAGAGAAGGTGAGATGCGTCCATTGGCAAGTGGGACGACGCGGCAAGGCACGGCGGGGTTTGCTTCGATGTGATGTGAGTGAGCGAGTGTGCCAGTGCTGCTTGCTGTTGGCACGGCAATTGCTGCCCGCAGTGCTGCACTACTGCCCTCCTCTGACCAGCCAACCCTAAACCGTGTACAGTAGATTCACTGCACTTCGCACCACGACACGCTAGCTCTCCCGCTCCTCCCCTCCCCCTTCAACGAGCTCGCTCCGCTCTCTGAACCAACTTTCCGACCACCCATTTCTTCCCCACCCCATCCCCCTCAACCCAACCCACGCAACTCCCGCATAGCAACCACCCCCACCACATCGAACCTCGCTTGCGCCTCTCGCGCCTCTTCCGCCACCAATTGCGCCACTCGAAACAAGGCCAAGCCCATCTCTCTCAGCATAAACGTTCCGTTCTGTGAATCACAGCGGTCATCAGCACTTCTATCTGTAAGAACCAACTCGTCACCCAACACGAACACTAGCTTCGTGCAGCTGCGCTTCAGCGAATTACCCTGCATAAGAAAAACTTGCTGGTTTGGCGCGTTAACGCTATCGGGTTAGCACTTCCGCTTCGTTTTCGTCAGTGACGCACAAATCTATCGCAATGAGGATCACTCGGGTGCTTCTCGTGTCTCTGCTGTTGGCTCTTCTCCTCGCCACCAGTAAGCTCTCTCC